TCGTGGGAATCTCCCTCTCTTCCTCCAGAGCTTCCTCTCCCGTCGTTCCTTTCGAGTGAGGCTTGGTGTTACTCTCTCTGCCCCTTTTCAGCAGTATGAGGGTGTACCCCAGGGTAGTGTTCTGAGCACTACTCTTTCTAGTTGCCCTCAATGGTCTTCTTTCCTCTCTTCCTTCTGGCATCTTCTCCGCTCTCTATGTTGACGATCTTGCCCTTTGCTGTCAGGGTGATGATTCTCCTCTCCTTCAACTTGCGATTGATGCCGCGTCGTCTTGGGCCACCGATCATGGGTACAAGTTTTCTGCGTCTAAGACGTGTGCTATGACTTTTACCCGGAAGCATGTCGTTCTTAGTCCCTCTTTGTCGCTTTATGGTCATTCCCTTGTGTACAGGAATTCCGCTAAGATTTTGGGGTTAATCTTTGAAACGTGTTTGTCTTGGTCAGCCCATATCTCTTACCTCCGAGTTGAATGCTCTAAGGCCCTTAACCTACTTAAGGTTTTGTCCCATACTTCTTGGGGAGCGGATAGGTGCACGGTTCTCTCTTTGCACTCCCTTCTCGTCCTGTCTAAACTCGATTATGGTTGCCCTGCATACTTCTTCTCCTTCTACTCTTCGCCATCTTGATGCTTTGCATCATACTGGGTTGCACCTCAGCTCTGGTGCCGTTCGTTCGACTCCCGCCCTCATCTTGTATGTTGACACTGGCTTCCGATCTCTCCAGGACTGCTCTGATCGCTACTGTCTTCGCTATCTTGTGAGGTCCTTACAACATCCTTCCTCTCGCCTCTGTCATGCTTTAACTTCTGCCCCTCCTGTGATTCTAGTTTCTCTTCATCGCCACCCTGATATTATATATCACCACCCTGATACGACACGCCACATCGATATTACAGGAAAGTGATGGTTGGGTTGACTGCATCTATCTGGACTTAAAAAAGGCTTTCAACAGAGTTCCACATAAGAGGTTGTTCTGGACACTAGAAAATATTGGAGGAGTGACAGGTACGCTTCTAACATGGATGAAAAATTTTCTGACTGATAGAAAAATGAGGGCTGTGATCAAAGGCAATATATCGGACTGGAGAAATGTCACAAGTGGAGTACCACAAGGTTCAGTTCTTGCACCAGTGATGTTTAATGTCTACATAAATGATCTACCAGTTGGTATACAGAATTATATGAACATGTTTGCTGATGATGCTAAGATAATAGGAAGGATAAGAAACTTAGATGATTGTCATGCCCTTCAAGAAGACCTGGACAAAATAAGTACATGGAGTGCCACTTGGCAAATGGAATTTAATGTTAATAAATGCCATGTTATGGAATGTGGAATAGGAGAACATAGACCCCACACAACCTATATATTATGTGAGAAATCTTTAAAGAATTCTGATAAAGAAAGAGATCTAGGGGTGGTTCTAGATAGAAAACTATTACCCGAGGACCACATAAAGAATATTGTGCGAGGAGCCTATGCCACACTTTCTAACTTCAGAATTGCTTTTAAATACATGGATGGCGATATACTAAAGAAATTGTTCACGACTTTAGTTAAGCTAAAGCTAGAATATGCAGCAGTTGTGTGGTGCCCATATCTTAAGAAGCACATCAACAAACTGGAAAAGGTGCAAAGACATGCTACTAAGTGGCTCCCAGAACTGAAGGGCAAGAGGTACGAGGAGAGGTTAGAGGCATTAAATATGCCAAAACTAGAAGACAGAAGAAAAAGAGGTGATATGATCACTACATACAAAATAGTAACAGGAACTGATAAAATCGATAGGGAAGATTTCCTGAGACCTGGAACTTTAAGAACAAGAGGTCATAGATATAAACTAGCCAAACACAGATGCCGAGGAAATATAAGAAAATTCACTTTCGCAAACAGTGGTAGACGGTTGGAACAAGTTAGGGGAGAAGGTGGTGGAGGCCAAGACCGTCAGTAGTTTCAAAGCGTTATATGACAAAGAGTACTGGGAAGACGGGACACCACGAGCGTAGCTCTCATCCTGTAACTACACTTAGGTAATTACCCTCTTTCTGTCCAACTATCTCGTTTACAGGATTCTCTTTCCATTCGTATTTCTAATGTTTTCCTCATATTGTTCCTTCCTTGCTCCCGTGGAGAGTCCCCCTTCCAAAGTTTTGTGCATCCTTGACCCCGCATCACTAAAGCTTTTACCCCTCTTACAGTTCTGAAACACCTTTCCCTTGAGCACTTTTCTTCACACTCCTACTCTGTTTCCACCGTCAGTGATGGGTCCAAGTCTGCTGACGGTGTGGGCTACTCTGTTGTTTTTCCTGACCGCACTTATATGTCGCCTCCCTTTGGAGGCTAGCGTCTTCACAGCAGAACTTTATGCTATTCTCTATGCTCTCCGTCTCTTGCTTTCTCATTGTCAATCCTCCTTTGTGGTTGTAGTTGACTCTCGTAGTGCCCTCATGTCTTTAGGGTCCTTTAATCCTGTCCATCCGGTGGTCATCAAGATTCAACATTGGCTGTTTCTTATCTCTAGTAAATTTAAATCAGTAGAGTTTTGCTGGGTTCCCAGCCATATTAGTGTTTCTTTAAATGAGCGTGCAGATGCTGCCGCTAGAGTAGCTATCTGTTCTTGTCCCATCTCCCGTATAGGTATTCCTTATTCCGACTTTTATCCAGTTATTCATTCCTCCATCTTTGCATGTTGGCAGGGTTGTTGGTCTTCTGTAGCTGGTAACAAGCTGCGTACTGTACTCTCAAACTTAGTGTGTCCCCGTGGCCTTCCTCCTGCCACTGTAACCGGCGGTGGGAAACGGCTCTAGCATGGTTGCGGATTGGCCATACTCGCTTAACTCACGGTCACTTAATGGAGCGCCGCCCTGCTCCTTAATGTCCAAATTGCGTTGGCCCTTTTACTGTCGTGCATATCCTCGTTGAATATCCTGACTTCCAGGACGTGTGTGTGTCTTGCTTTCCGACCGCCCCTCGCGGTCACTTGTCCCTCGATAGAATTCTTGGTGAATCGGATACTTTTGATATCGTTCGCCTTGTGCGTTTCTGTTCTCGTATTGACATTCTTGGTGATATTTAGCGCCCTCTGATTATTTCGCACTTTGATGGTGCTACATAGCCTTCCCGGTTTGGTGCCTTCTTTTGATAATTGCCTTACCTTGGTAGACAGTTGGAACAAGGTAAGCGAGCCTGTAGTTGAGGCCAAAAAATTCATAATTTTAAAGCATTATTTGACAAGGATTGCTGAAAAGATGGAATACCAGAAACATAGCTCTCATTCTGTAACTACTCTTAGGTGTACTTAGGAAATTACAAATAAAGATGTGTCATTTCATTTGGGTAAAAAATATTTTGCAATAAATATAGTAGCTACAAATAGCTAACAGCTCGGCTGACCTGAATCCTTGATAAAAACGTATTTGGTCTTTATCTAAATGGTATGTTTGAACTAGGTGCCACTGTATTAGTATTCCTTTTCAAATAGGGATTATGTCTCGTTGCCTGGAGCCCAGTAGTTGGGTGTCTGGGCACTTGGATGCGTGATGGAATAGCAGGTGTCTCCATTTTCCATTAATATCTCCTTGGGTATTGCATGTACTGAGACCACTTTACTCCATTTTAAAAACTGCAGCACCTCTTATGAGTCATACCATAAGTTTTACATTAAATACAATGTAACTATTTTTGGTCCACTCAAACGTCAGTAATTTATATTCACATCCAGTAAAGGGCTATTTTTACCCTTTTTTGTCACTATGACATTAATAATTTAAAGACCAGACACATAACTACTTGTTGGTCAGATGTGCTAGCGTATTTATCTGTGTATGTAGTCTTCCTTCCTGCTGGGTCCTCAATATTATACAAATTTAGTGATTTGGTAAAGATCTTAAATGCTTATATCCTCAGTTTATATAATACCCTCTCGACCCTAATGTTAGACTTCCTTTAAATGTTTTCATTTCATCGCATTCCAGTATGAAACGGTCAAAATGCGTACAGTTCTTGTATTCAAATTCAGGTCAACATTACATGTACTACACACAAATGTTATTGAATTCCTATGAAAATTTTGGGTATGCAAACTTGTGATTACAGACAGACTCATCATTCCCACATTCACCTGGCTGGTTTGCTAGGGGAAGTTGGAAAAATAATAATTAGAGGATAAAGAATGCATTGCCCATTTTGAGTGTTTGAATACTAATTCTGGGGATGTAAAAAAAGGTGAAAACAAAAGTACACAAGAAGGCCATGTGCTTGTGGATCAAATTTATAATATCAGGCTTGATGTATGCATAAGAGTTATGTTGAAAGAATGGAAAGATATAAAGTACAGGTATATGTACAACAGCTGAATGTTTTGTTGGTGTGAGAGAGAAGACTAACAAAAGGTGATTTTTAAAAGTATATTAATGGTAGTGAAGGGAAAAATGCAGGAATCTTTTAATAGTTAAATTCCTGGGTTGTAAAATGAAAAGGATAAAACTGTGCAGAGAGTCGGGGAAGGAAAATGTATGGTACAATGGAAGTTCTAATTTAGATGGTCAAGTTGGGAGATTCAGCCAGATGACTGCATGAATGAAGGATTGTTCTAGCTGTCATTTACAAATGAAGTGGGAAGTGCAGGTGTAGCATGAACCTGGAAGATAGTTTCAGCAAAAGAGATAAACAATCCAATGAGAATGAGTCATGATAAAATGACTCATACAGAAGATAAGGAGTATAAAAATCTATGACTGGTAATATTGAGGGGGGGGGGTAATGGTATATTTAGGTTGAATGAATGGATAATGATAATGGTGATGAAAGTGGATCTTTGAGAATTTGTGGGTAGGAGGAGGAGAGAAAGGCAAATGTGGTAATTGTGTGAGAAAACATATGAATGTGAATAATGCATAAAAAGTATAAATGAAGAGGATTGAGTGTAATTGATTTATTAGGAGGGGGATGAATGAATGACATTATATCCATGCCAACTCACAAGGAGTACTTTACACCAGCAGCAGCAGCACTCACGGCACCAGGAGCAAGCTGGGTCTGGATGCGGACCTAAACACCAAGGACGTGATCGACGACGCATCGGTGGACAAGAGCGTGGAGTAAGTGAACGTTCTATGTACCGAGGCGGTGAAGTAAGCAGGCAGTCTGCTATGCATGAAAGTGCTCATCTTCCACATGACCAAAGTACAAGCCAGCATAGACACTGATGGGTTTCCATGCCTCAAGGGGAGGAGGTTTCGTCGACCACCATCAGTTAAGACATGAATCAATGCTGACAGCAGCAGGGCTGTCAGGTATTTGTAATAAATATGGATATAAACTTTCCATCTGAAGAATTAGAAAGCCATGTGACAGAACCATTAAGTGATGAAGAAGTTTGGATGAAGAATACGAGAAAGAATGGCAGATGTTCCAGCTTTGTCCATGGCAGATGTTCCAGCTTTGTCCATGGCAGATGTTCCAGCTTTGTCCATGGCAGATGTTCCAGTTTTGTTCATAGCAGATGGACATAATGATGATCAACTCCTAAGTAATAACTAAAGAAGAACAGGTGCTCACCTATCAGTGACTATGGGGGAGTGAGGTTTAGCTGTTTATGCCCTGCCTCCTAGCCATTTATACCTGGTGTGCTTATTACTTAACCCTCTCGGTATTAATGTTTTCATCATATTTCTTTTTTAAAATTGTGGATGGAATTGGCTTCATCAACCTCTTCAATGCATTGGTTCCAGCCACGAGCCACCTTCCATATACCCCTTCCCTTGCAGCTGGTGGTGGATGATGCTTGTGCTCTGTGACAGGCAACGTAACATCACGTATGGTGAATGGTGACTGTAATGCATGCAACCTTAATATTCTAGGTGGAATTCAAAGGTCACAGCATAAGATGCCAAATCGTAAAATTCAGCAAACCATATGTGAGTAAACTATTTAGTTTACTCTGCACCCTACTATTGCTTTCTTCTCTACGTCAACTAGGGATTGAACTCGGGAGTCAAGTGAAGGAAAACCTGATGGAGATCTTACTGTAATGTTGTCTTAAGACCTGATTAAATATTAAGAATGCTTTGATACAAATATTAGGAATGCTTTGATACAAGTCAATACTGTAGTATTTATAAATATTTAGAGAGAGAGCAAGATACAAAAATAACAAAATGGACTAGAAGAATATAGGAGAATGCAAAAAGCCTTTTGACCCCATAGGAGGCAGCTCCTATTTATATCCACTCACTCATATATATGTCTAAGTTCAGCTTGCAGTAATATGTTGGAAAACTTCCATTACTGATGATGTCCAGGACTCTTATACTGTATATGCATTGTAATTGATTTCAATAATGCCTTGTGGAATGTCATGAAGTATGTGGTGTGGCCGATGATTAGGTCTTAACCGGCGGGTGTGGCCACTTTCTCTCCAGACATCAACAATCATGGCAAACCATTTTAGTCTCCGTGGTGTAGTGGTAAGACACTTGCCTAGCGTTCGGCGAGCGCTTTGTCATGGGTTCGTATCCTGGCCGGGGAGGATTTACTGGGCGCAAATCCTTAACTGTAGCCTCTGTTTAACTCAACAGTAAAATGGGTACTTGGTTGTAAAAACGATTCTTCACGGCGGGGATCGTATTCCAGGGACCTGCCCAAAACGCAACGCGTACTTGTGGCTGTACAAGAATGGAACAACTCTCTTATATATCTCAAAAAAATATATATATATATATATATAAACAAAAGCTTTATCAGCAACGATATGGCTGAACTCTCATTTTGTATCCGTGTCTGTCAAATGTAATAAATTACACCTGATACTCGCTGCAACATCAATTGTTGAATTGCTTAGTGTCATCAAGGAACATGAATATTATTTTTGATAGAGTGAATTGGAAATTTCTTGACCAATAAAAATAGGAGCTACAGTATATGATAAAATTTTGACCAATTGAAAATATGGTTTTGTAATGATCTAACCATCTTTGTACAGATCCAATGCATCACCAGCCTATAATTAACTAGTAAACAAACGTAATCAAAAGCATTCATTGGAGCAAGGAAGATCATGAGAAAATCTTTGCAGCAGGATGACAAAATTGAACCAGCATCCTGCTCCACAAATGTTCTCAGATATATAGCACTATTGTGTTTCACTGTGTATATGGAAGAATATATTTGGTTAACTGAAGAAGAAACATTAACAAGTTCTTGGCTGAAATGAATTTGTTGAAGATGGCCAGAAGGCAGCACGTAAAGTTCTGCTAATATGACAGAGTGGCCAAAGAGCTGGACCCTTGGCAAACCACATATGGCAGACAAGAGCTATAGTTGTGCTGTGTATGTTAGTTCAAAATACATGAGGAGCAGTTGAGAGTGGCCTTTAAACTAGTTCAGGTGACTCATATTTACTGAGGAATATAGCATGCACTTCAGAGCTAGGTCAAGATTGACTACACTTAAAGGAAGATGATGTGGTATGGTATATTGGCATGGCTGTCTTGTGGGCTCAACACAACTGAAGCTAAACAGTGTTAATGAGGCATCAAGAATAGTCTCTACAGGAAATATTAGGATGGAAGAACTGAAAAACTTCAGGTGTGTTACATAAAACTATAAGAATACACTGAGAAGACTCGTACTCGTTAAGGCAGTTACTTGAGAATGAAAACGTGCCTGTAGTAGCATAAAGATATACCTCTGGGTGCCTTTTAGTTTCCTGAGCATGTTAATAATACATATGCATTATACACAAGTTCATAGCTAACTAGATCCTATATGTGCTTATTGGTTCCCTTAAAACATAAGGTAAAAGACCCTATAAAATGTGACAACTTCATGCCCACAGCAATTGTATCATCAGAAGCCTTTCTTAGTTTACGGATTATCAGTTGAATTCATAACGCTTCAAGTCATGATAGGGTTTCTGCAACAAAAGAGATTCTCTAGTCCATTTATTTCACTGAATGTTTAAATGCTTTTTGGCAGAATTACTAAGTTTTTAGACAAGCTACTAAAAAAAGTGGATCTAAATCGTTTAGTAGTTCAGGATGTTCAAGTACATTTGTTGTGCAATGGGATAACACTACGTCAAAGATGTTCAGGTCTGGTAATGGAATAAGCACAGGAGGCCTGCTATAAACTTGGTGTTACTTTAATAATGTTGATACAGTACTGTACTGATAAATTAAATGTATCTCAAAATAGGAGAAAGCATGGTTGTTATATAGGAAATGTAGTATATGTGTTAACAATGTAAACCATGCTGACAATGTGCCGTATGTAAACCATGCTGACAATGTGCCGTATGTAAACCATGCTGACAATGTGCCGTTACTTAACCACACTTGACAGACAAATGTCAAAACTTTACAACAGCCTGACATATACAACACTGTACCAACAGTGTTACCCTAATAATATAAATATGTACTGATGTAAGTAAGCAACTTTGGGAAACATAATGCTTTGAGTGATATCTGGGTCTGAAAATTCTAGTTCTGCAGTATAAGTGCTGAAGCTGTTTTAAAGCAAATGCTAGTCATTTAGGACAGTGCACATGGACAAACTACTGTACTGCATATTTTTCCAAAACAAATTGGTCCGTCATAATGACATACTAAAGCAGGTGCTTAAAGTACTCAAGAGGACAAGTTACTCGGTTTTCGCTATCAATAATGTTAGATGATAAGAAGACGTTGAGATATAGCCTAATGCAGAAGGTAACAGCTTCCAACAATACCCTGGTTATTATACTGAGGCAAGTGACACCTTTTTACTCTCCAAGTATATATGGAATTGCAGAATAAGTTCTGCATGCCCTAATTTTCTTCTTTAAACAAGTTGGTACTGTATTTCTATCATATTTCCCACTTGCTCTTGTATATTCTACTGTATTATTGTTGACATTGTCACAATAATGTGGCTGAAAATTAGACACTAAACCCATAAAGCTGAAAATGAAGAATGTGACAATGTTTTCGTCCATCGTGGCCCGTTATCACACATACTTACTGTTAGACACCTAACCCTCAGTCACTCTCTTTATTTTCATAGTTGTGGGTTGGGTGTCTAACTGTATCATTAAGTATTTCTTCCCTTCAGTATTATTATATGTTGTCATAATTTGCTCTTTCTTCATGTATACATATGTATGTATGTTCAGTATGTCTCCCACCCCTTTTTTTACAGTCAAATGATTACCTTAATGCAAGTACATAATAATTCATGAACAATATATGGATCTGAATTTTCAATAAATTTCCCATCATTGTTAAACATAGTTTCCCACTTTCAAGTGGTGAGGATGCATTTATCCAAATAAAATAGAATAATACAGTAGAAGAGGGTTAAAAACATTAAAGTTATTTAAAGTATTTCTCCTCCATTCACCTTACATCCCATTTTCAGCATCATGGAGAACCAGCCCCACCACACAAGTTTCAAAACCCAGTTCTCACGTTCTCTTGTTTACAAACATGCAGGCTGCTCATCACGTCTCATAGATTTGGGACTTCCAATCAACCATTTATCACTTACTCTTTTTGTACATACTGTTGCACTCTGCTTTGATCAGAAGTTCCTCTTACAGCTCTTGTTAGTAATACATATTTTAACAAACGTCTTAAGATATTCTTATGTCTAAACTGTTCTAGATTTGCAATGTGTTAATAAACAGTATTTTACTTTGCATATCATACACTCTTAAAACCATTTGTCATTTACAGTAGAACACTCTGTATACTCATTTTATCATTCTTAGGGCTAATTCTAAATTTACCATCAACTTTCCTATCATAATTATAGATTCTTAGCATCGGTATTAATGCCACTTTCTAAGCGATTCAAAAAATTCACTTTTCGCTTCTATTATCACATAGAATCACTGCTTTATCTTGCATCCTACCAAACATGAATTTAATTCATGAGTATCTTGTACCATACTTTGAAATGCTATTCATTAACACTTTCGTGTCACCGGCGTGCACGCCCTAGCCTACCTTAGTGTGCGTTGGGCGTTTCTCGTCAGCGCATGACCAGACTAAAATATGTATAATCTTTTCAGTTTTCTCACCTCAATTTTTGAGGCGAGAAAACGCTCACGGGTAAAGCTCGCTCGCGTTACCCGTGAGCGAGCACCAATTAGCACACCTGCAACCTAATGTATATACTCTTTTCAATTTGATAACATCAATTTTTGCGTTACGTCATTACGTTTGGTATCAAATTGTTCGCAAATATAAAAGCGTGCATTTTAAAACTAGTCCCAGAGTAATCGAACAATAAATGGAATTTTAATAATTATTTTAATTTTGGATGCTCATCACCACAAAAGGATTTATAATACTTCCAGGGTTCTGACGTCAATTGTTATGCTACGTCACTCATTATGGCATCAAATTGTGTGCAATCTAAAGGCGCTCATTTTAAAACCAGTCCCAGAATGATCAGATAAATCTTAGAATTTTAACAAATATTTTAATTTGGGGGACAACCTGCGTTCCGGCGAACGTCCGTGAGAAAAATTTAAGACACAGACTGCGTCTCGGGAGTGCGAAACTGTTGCTTAGTAAATGGCCACTCCTTCCCTACATCTTTCATTTTCTCTAACTTGCTTTTTAATCTTGACTATTGTACTATGCATTCTTCCTTTTATCTTTGCCTCATATAAACCTAGTGCATCAAAATTACCTTCACTGAGTAATGCTGATGAATGGGATCTGCTGCTGTGGTTGATATTCTGGTGTGTGGAGTTGCTACTACATGATGCTGTCGAGCACACACAATACTGTGGAGCAGCAGGTGTCCTCTTCCATATCAAATTTTGTTTTTTCTTTTTGTTATGACATTGGGTAAATGCCTTCTCTTCTCCCCCACACCCCTTATAAGAGGGAAACTGGAAAATAAAGATAGTAAAAGATAATGCTTTATTTAAAAAAAAATTCACTAAATAAAGAAAAGCTGATTCAGTACACTAACTACAGTATTACAAGATAATGAGAAATACTAAAATATATATCTAAATTTATCAGGTTTATCTTCAGGAATATGTTGTTGTACCTCCAATAATATGCCTTTCCAATAGGTTTTACCCCATTTATGGAATAAATTGTAGTATTTCTCCCCTAGTTTTTCTACTTCTAGGCAAGTATAAAGTCTAAAGTAAAACAAACTTGAAATATAACTGTCAAATCCCTCCTATTTAGATTTGATTATCTTGTACAAAGATTATTTTTTATTTGAAAATTGTTGAAAATGATGGCTGTTATAAATTCTGTATTTATTTTTCAGGTCTGTGTTGCCTGTACGTAATTACATATGCTGTCACTGCTTCCTGGCATACCTGCGACCCTATTTTTATGTCTTCCTGGGCACCATCGCATCAACTCTGGTGTATTTCCGTCTGGAGCGACCGTCCGCCGTCAAGAAGCAGCTTTCTCGTCGACATTCCACTGTTGTTATCCAGGTAAATAATAATTTTTCTCTGTACTGTAGTTGATACCTTAGGGATTTTTTAGATATTTTAAGATCTTTATAGAACTGAAATAATAAAAGTTAAATGTATTTTGAACTTGAAGAAAATATGAAATACAGTACTGTATTTTGCAATCACTCTGGTAATCACTCGGTGAAGATGTGGGAACAATTCAAATATGACTGTGATGCCTAGAGGACTGGGGGTTTTAGATACAAACTTTCAAAATACATCTGGCAATCAATTGAGAGTTTATAGCATAATAATTCAATAAATCTGTATTAGAGCCTGTATTTGCCAGCTGGTAAGGGTACAAGGATATTCTGTTGGAAAAATTACTTTAGTATTTCATTATACATTTATTGAGGGTAACTTTTAAGTTGTTTCGAAAGAAAACCAGAATTTATGCATGTAAATACAGTGGAAACTCGGTACTCGAACAGACGCCCACTCAAACGCTGTGTTCATGTTCATTAGTTGACTTTGCTTGGCACACAAATGTAAACACTGGTCCCTGATGCATCAGTTTCACCATAGCTGTCATGCAGTGCACAACACCACTAGACTTCTTTACATTTTCTCATGATTTCTTGGATATTTTTTACATTCCTAGTGTAAATAAGTCACCATGGCACCAAAGAAAGTTAGTGATAAGGGACAAGCAAAAAAGAAAATTTGTTAGAACCATGATTGAGATGAAATAAGAACTCCTAACAAAATATGAAAGTGTTAGCTATGTGTCTGCTCTTGCTACTGAGTTTGGTATGCCTAAATCCAGTTCTATAATAAAAGAAATGTGTACAAAATGGGGGAAGTGCAAAGTTTTCTTGATAAATATTACTGTGACAAAGCTGCGGTAATAATGCCAAAGAATATCAACTCTCACCACCTTCTGCATATGCCATCAACTCTCCTAATTGCAGATAAACGTTTATACAATATTTGCATTTATTTCATTTATTAATTGTATCAATAAATTTATTTTTGTGGTCTGAAGCAGATTAATCCAATTTACATTTTTTCTTATGGGAAAAAAAATTTCAGTACTCGAACAGATCACACTCGGTCCAGCCTTCAGGAACCAATTAAACATTTTGGCATCCTGATGATGCTCAGCATCATAAAAATAATTCACGCATTGTGGGTGATGATGCTCTCTGCGTCATGCATTAATTTTTGCTTAATCTTATTATTAAGTACAAAACATTGTGAGTGAAAGAGTTCAACATTGGGTTGGGTGCTCACAGAGAATGGTCGGCCTACCTTCCAGTGCGATGCAGGTTTCCTGCCAGGCATGCTAAAGTGTTAAGTTTGATTACCGAGGTTCTACTGTATAATATATATTGAGATGTTGATGGACTAAAAACATACATCCTATCTGCCAAAAAATATGGTATATTAAATTTGGCTAAATTTCAAGTGCCACATAAAGCTTCCTGTGTATGTTGCACCATTTTCTAATTTGGAGGTACAGTACTGGGTTCTTGCATTGGATGCACTTCATCTCAACTGGAACCAGTGAGGTACAATATATTTGTTTCCTCTAATCTGTATGTTACTGCCCATGCATCAAAGTTAAGGAGCTTTGATTGTACATAATTCTTCTTGCTTCCTTGTGGCTGTTTCAGTACTGGTCTCTAAATCTGATCTTGTGCTGCCCCAACCCGACTAGTTTCCCAGCCCTTCACCCTTTCTGGCATATTTGTGGTAGGGGCTACATGGCCACTTCAAGTCTCTCTGCCAATCTTTGTGTTTTGATATTTTAGGACTGTTATACTGTGTGTTGTATGGCACGGGTGGCAGTCTTCCTTAATAACAACATTCATGCCTCATTTTGATATCAGTATGAGTTGGCTTGATGTGGCACTTCACTGCTTCTTTAACAGCTGCTGTCCCCCTCTCTGATGATGATGTCAAGTGCCACTTCAGCTCATATCAAACACTGTAGCCACTTATAGATCTACTCATTTGTGGCCTTTGGCACTTGGGTTTGTTTTAGATTTATCCTCTGCTCTTTTTCTGTTAATTTGGATAATACCTTTAATGTTTTCTCTTCCATGCTCCTTAGGAGCCTTTGTTGTCTGAACTTAGCTTTGAGTTTTCCTACTTAGAAGGATGGCACTCTAAAGGCTTTGTTCCTTCTTGTATTGGCCAGTGGTAATAGGGTCAGTCAGTTTCATGTCTTTTTTTCATTGACAAAAGGGTTTGTCGGCTGGTTGTTTCGAGACGTTTGTGCGGCTGCACTCTTCTCCTCTTTCCTAGCCAAAAATGAGGCTCCAGCCATGGCCTCCAGCCATGGACCTTGTCCACTTTTCTGTGCTTCAGACAATTTGAGTCTGTCCCCACTTTTCTTGCATGTCTTGCTCTGTTGCTCTGGTTTTCAGTTCTAGTTCCTTGGCCTCATGTACTAAGGCTTGCCTCTTCCAGCTTTTCCACTGTATGGTTATGCTCAGTCAACATCTTGCTTACCCTCGTGCTCATGATTTACAAATGTTTGCTACTTGAACTACTGTCTTCCCTGGCATGTCCTGCTAGAGAATCATATCCATGGGTTCTGGAAGTCAAATCTAACTTTTGGAGTTTATTGTCTTCCTAATGTGCCTTCCTCTCAATATCACTGTGCACTCAAGGCCACCTCTCCACCATCTGATGGTGGTTCAGCAGTTAGGTGCATAGGAACTCTAAACCAGTATGCCTTCCCTTCCCATAGCTCCCACTTTTCACATCTCTGCCAAGAGTATGTACCCTGTACATTTCCTTCAAAATTTTTGCTTCTTTAGGTTTGCCTGCCATAGGGAAGCTGGCCCATAGAGGATCAGAGAGGCTTTAGCTCAGAAACAAGGTGTTGAGCATAGATGAACACTTCTCTCTGAGCCTGTCCTCTGAGCTTGCTTGGATGGTCTGGGCTTCATGTTGGAGTTGCTGACTTCGTAGATACTGGTGTGGTGATGTGTGCAGTCACCTGGTAGTGATCGGGGGTGACCTTCAAATTCTTAACTGGAAGTTTGCAGTGATAATTGGCTCATACAGTATTTCTAATTTCTATTGAACAGTGAAGTGGAACGTGTAACACAAAACATGAAATAGTGGATAGTGTTAGAGAATTGTACATAGAAAAAGTATAAATGTAAAGTTGTGGCAGGAGGCATCACACTAGGCTGTTTACACCACAGCCACGAGGCCGACACAGCGTAAGGGATAATATACTGACAATATATATTGTAATAGGGGAAAGTAGATTTAGGAACTAGCAATAGAGTAAGTGAATAACATTGCAAGCCGGAAGAAAGCAGAAAATCCCTTAGGGTATTATAGGCAAATAATCAGTGTATAAATCAAGTAACTGGCAACCGGTGGCATCCTGCCCCCGACCTGAGACAAACAACGGTCAACTATAAGGTCCCCAAGAGGACCATATTTCTCCACAAGGCGATAAGTACCCCCCACATAAACTTGAACAAATAAACATATGTAATATTATAAATATACTGTATACATACGTATAATGTTATAAATATATTCATATAATATTATAATACCACAAACCCAACATGGAGACTACTTTAAGCCACTTCGGAAGAGTGTTGTAGGCATTGTATGTAATATTTCTAACATAAGATTTCACCTGAGTTGTACAGGATTACCTACACAATATGCAAACTGGGAAGGTAACTACTGGATCTGTCAAAGTGACAGACAGATATGGGAAAACATCACCAAACTAATGAATAACATTCCTGAAGTACACAGGCTACAATTCACACAAAAACTACCAGAAATATATGCAGAGTATATAAAGACAGCAACGAACTCTGAGCACAACCCAGGGACTGAGAATTTAGAGAGTCAAAGTAGCAATGTAGAAGGACATGGTGTCAAGGTACACAAAAATGAAGGCAATATTGTAAAGCAAACTGGTGATATGAATAAGGAGAGAAAAAATGAGACGAATGGGAACACAAAATGAGAAAGACGAAAGCAACAAGGAGAAAGATAAGGGCAATACCGAGAATGAATGCAGAAACGAGAAAGTTGGAACAAAAAACACAGAGGTAGCCAAATCGTGTACGGGTACAAACAAGAAGAATACAATCACAGATGAAAATATTTGCAGGTATTATGCAAAAGGACAGTGCAGATATGGGCCCAGAGGCATGGAATGCACATTCTTGCACCCACGGAAATGCCGAAACTGGTTAGGGAAAGGCAGATGTCGTTTTGATACAGTGTAGATATTTTCACCCTAAGCTATGCAAACTCTCTGTTAATGAGAGGAAATGCTACGATCTTCATTGCCCTGATTTCCACGTCAGAGGTACACAGCGCTATATAAGAGAGGAAGTCCAATATAATAGCCCTGAAATTTTTTTAGAGGCAGGCAGAAACAGAGGGAGAAACAGACAGGCAGAAACGTGGCAGGAGTATAGATGGAGAGGGGAAAATGCCCAAGACTGGACTACGGTTCGTCATCAAGCCCACACATACTACACCCCCCAACTACACAGAGACTACCACACTCCCCAGTATCACTTCGAAAACTGGACAAACCATTGTCACAACAACACACCCTGGGTCAGGGTAGAGAGAAGGGAGAACTACCAAAACCTTCCAGAAGTGACACACAATATGGACAATCATTCATACTTGCAAACATTCAAGGTTTAAAGCCAAAGTCAAGGAATAAGTTAAGTTCATAAATGGCCTCCTATTAGAGTTAAACTCAATATTTGGGGCATTCACAGAAACTCATACAAAAGATTACATGGATGGTGAAATCTGGATTCCAAATTATAATTTATATAGATGTGATAGAAAAACTAGGTGAAATGGAGGAGTAGGTCTGTATATTAAAGAGGGCCTGGTATGCACAGAACTACTAAACTCAACTAATGAAAAACTCTAGGTGGAGGTGGAGGTACTAGGAATTAAGCTAGAGAAACTAAACCTTATTATTATTCTAATATATAAACCACCAGATACAACGGTTGAGG